TCCAGTCATCACGCTTATTATCTTCCAGCCAGGCCGAAAGTTTAGTCTTCAATATGTCGTTTCCCTTTCTACCAAACCCTGTGACTGTGGATGACGTGGACGACCATTTATTCGGAGCTATCAAATCTTTTATGTTACAAATTCTTTTCCATTATCTGAATGTAACATTCGGGGACCAGATAAAACGCCAGCAACATTCTTCGCCTCTTTACTCTTTAATGCCTTCGTCCAGGAGAATCGTGTAAAATGATCCCTTGCGTGAGCTATCCAACGATATTCTCCATTTGGCCGTGCTTTCATGTCGATAAGATCGATTTTAGAGTATTTGCTTTGTTAATTATTGGGGAAAGGCTCTGTATTTGCAGTTTTATTGGCTGCCAATACAAATTTGACCAATGGAATTGCGAGGAATCTGCTCAGCTTTAGACATACCCAATTATTGGGAAAAGCCAAATAATTTATACCTGCAGTCTGGACAAAAATTAATCTCCGCTGAAGTTTTTAACGGTCGTTTGCTTACACATGTGCTAATGCTGCAACACACTTCGCTACAAGCGGACGCGGCACCCAACTATATTTCTTACAGATCTGAGAAAGATATTAGCATGACATCAACTCAAGAGAGTATACGTTCAATGTTACTGTGTTTACTATAACTTCAAACAACTTACACAGCTGTATGTCTTTTGATAACCTGCATGCTGTAATTCCTCGTGTAGGTTTCCAATTACGTTATACAGATGCTCACCAATTTTTTTTTCTCAAGTAAACAAACTGATTCTCCAACTTTCATAGTTGCAAAGTGCTTTCTAATCCATGCTTTTAACTTTGCGAGCCATCACAGCTTAAGACTTCGCAACATCCGCAAGCTCTTGCGAATTAAAGACTTTTCTCAAAATTTTGGTTCTAAGTTGTTGAGGTATTCCTCAACCAAGCCATCAAATTTCTCAACTCAAACGAGTTTACAGACATTTTACGATGAATAAAACAGGGTTATGTAAGTGATATGATAACGGTTGCTTAATACGCCTTTAAGGTCGATATTAATTTTAGCGACAAAAAATTTTAATTTATATGATTTTCGTATACTAATACGCGTCTGACACGAGTGTGACCGTCCAGGGTAAAAATAGTTAGTGTGCTGTCTTCTACAATTCTTTAATAGTCTCGTTCTTTATTCACCAAACAAATACTAAAAATATTATGAAAAAATAATTAAATTTAGAATTGTCGGGAAATAGTGCTAAGTTGAAACTGTTTCTACTCTCGTAACATTATCACATTAAAGTTATCGATTATAATAACATAACATTTTGCGGAATTTAACTAGAAATTAGAGACAATCTATCAACGAAAGTATGTCCATAGAATTATAATAATTTTTGTAATTCAAAGTACGTCAAGCTACTGTTTGTTTGAACGATTACTTTTAGTTCGTACAAAACTTCAGTATGAATAAATTATTAAATTATCTGACCTCGCTTACATTATGAAGGCTGATAAGTATTCGAGGCTGTACTAATGTAAGGACAGTATAATATTAAATTCTTGAGGGTCAAGAATAGATTTGCAAAGTCCACTTTTTAGCAAGGAAAAAGCACGCGTTCAACGATTACGTAATATTGTGCCTCTTTGAATTAATATTAGGTGACATAAGTAGAAGGTAGTTGCAAGATTGACCAAGACATCGACATCAAACATAATTGTGACCCTTCTGCACGTGATACGACATTCTTACGCCGAACTTACCTCACGCGATGAAAACTTTACAGCAGAGGTCCAAAGAATCGTGATAAATGCTAAATACTTCTACTGCGAGACTTGATGAGATCGAACAAGTTCTTCAAACCTACCATAATAATTTTGTTAGAGTAACAACCGAATTCGAATCAATCAATAGATCTATCACAAGTCTCCAAACCGAAGATACTCCCTTGTCCAGAGCACTAATAGGAAAGGATCAGACCAGCAAAGCGAGGCTTCGTCATCTTCTGCTCCGTTCATCAATTCTTCAAACTCAAGCCAAAAATTTGCGAATATTATTTCTGTAATCCGGGAACAGTTTAAGGCTATCTTTGATAGAATTAAGGGTGCGAATAATTATACTTTAGATCAGATGTGTAATGTTGTATCGGCAACAATTCAAACCTGGTCAGCAAACAGTGTTAGACTCAGAATGTGGATTAAATTTTAGAAAGGTGATCAAGCAAGCAACAAAAGAGTCGCGTTGCAGTGCCATAAAATCACTGCTAGCAGAACTTACAAACGATCAAATGTTGGATGAGAACATGGATTACGTTATCTTGGAAAATCTGAAAACGTTGCCGACTGAAAAAATTAAAAATAAGCCAAGCGAAATAACGTTTATTACAAATTATCTGGACCGCATCATGAGGGAAATATTTCATAATCCAGACAAACATATCGTTGAATGGCCCAATACAGGTCTTGATGAGGAAATCACAAGGAAGAAGCAAACAACCGGACTTTGTAGTATCTATTATCCACCAGCTACAGAAAAACAGTGTTATATTTATGGGTAAAGTCTGTCCATCTTTAGAAAAAATAATGTCTATAAGAATTGCAATGATCTAATTC